TAAATAAATAAATAAATAAATAAATAAATAAATAAATAAATAAATAAATAAATAAATAAATAAATAATTAATTAAATAAATAAATAAATAAATAAATAAATAATAAAGAAATAAAACAAAATTACAAAAGCGCTACAAAGGCACTCAACCAAAAAATAAAATTATAAAACCCGAACTTCATGGCCGAACTGTTTACTGGGCACTAGAAACGGTCAAGAAAAATATTGACATTCTTTCGTTTGTGCGAATAGTAGTGCACAAGGAATTTTTTTATCTGATATTTTACGGCCTGCTGTCTCACTCTTTGCTCACCAAATAATGGAACAAGCATATATGTATTTCTTTGGCAAACATGGGTTGCCTGGCGTTGTTTTTTTCACAAACAAAAAACTTTAGAGAAGTGTGGAAAATTTCTTAAGAAGTACCGTTCTCCTCAAATATGTATTTGTGTTTATATACACATACATAAAATGCAGTATGGCAAACTAAAAAGGGAATACAGTTTTGTCTCATTAAAATATTCCTGCCGACAAATAGCCCATCAGATGGCATCATTACTCGCTTCGCTACAAGTCCAATCCAATTGTTGCTGGGTTTATGAAGTTTGGAGAGAACTGTTGTGTTCATTTTCAAAAGCTCATAACAATTAAGCAGCTTGGAAAGCACAACATGAAAGCTGTTTCAATTGCGTAGTTTGAAAAGCACTGTATATGTGTGAGAGTTCATTTATGCACAGTGGATTTTCACATACCAGTATCGTTTTGTTTACTTATATTTGTTTGCAAAAACATAAAAAAGAAACTGTGTACATATCTAAATAAAAGCATTAGCACAAAAGCGGGTTGCAACCGATATAACACAAATTAATAACAACAATATTATCATGGCGCAATTTTGCATAATAGATGCTTCTTCGAAAATAACTAATATATCACGTATAAGAAAACCAAAATAAATTATAAATAGCCATCGTGGAAATAACAAAATTAGCTCATTTAATGGCAGCAAGAGCTAAAATAGTGTTGCACCATACCATTTTTGTTTATTTTTTTACAATACAATTAAAAAAAACTGCATCCATCGACAGCTATGAAGGCGCTCTATGGTTGGCTTTCAATATTCTGGCACACCTGCATCCTTGCTGCTATTTCTGCCAAAACTGTGAAACTTGGTCCACCCATTGACCCAGAAATATTTACATCCACAACAACAACGACATTAGCACCAACTGTTGCCTCAACAACAAATTTAATTGCAGCGAACAACAACACAACGAGTGACGGCGATTCCTCTGCAATTAATAGTACCAATGTTTATGACCACAATCACAAGATTTTGCTGTTGATACTGTCGGATCTGAACGTACGCAAAGTTGGGGATCCTCAGCAGCAAGGTAAAAAACTCTTCGAGCCCTAATCGCAAAAAAAAAATAAACGTAAGCGACGCTTTTCTCAAAATTTTATTTTTGTCGCAGAAATGCGCCAGGAGCATCTAGATTCTAGATTCATTTCTGCATCAAAAAGAAAATTTTGAAAGAAATGTGACTTGGTTTTTTTTTGGCGGTTTGACCTCGACTCGATCCTATTAAAAAAGCAAAAAAAAAAAATAAATAATGCAAGCTTATAAAAAATTTAAGGCAAAATGCTAAACGATTCAAATAATGGCGCAAATAAAATCTCGAATGAAACATTAATACTCGATGAACAACGTTTTAAGGAATTGCTCACAAGTAAGCAAATTCGAAAAATTTCTTTGATTATTTATTTTAATTAAAAACTTTCCACTGCGATAGAATTCCAACCTACGACGAGGAAAGATGGCACCACAAAATGCCCGGAAACCAGCAAATGTGTGAACATTGTGCCTAATTTTGTGCCTCCAACTTTCCCTTGGATCATACGAAAGGAACCACGTAAGCCGATTGTTTATATAGAACCGTTGGTGTGCGAGGATACCGGAAAAGATGCTCAACCTATGATGGTAGCATCTGCTTCGGGTGTTAGCCAAACTAGGAGAAGAAAACCTATAGATCCGTCGCGAACGAGCATTGGTCACGCACGCGCGAGAGTTTTGAATAATGCACGAAAACATCAAAGATCTGGAACGGCCGCCAATTACGTCTTAAAGTCAAAGTTTGGTGCCCGTCGTAATACACCACATTCCATGTATCCACCAAACTATTTTAAGAATATGAACTATGCGCATTCCGCATATGAATCGGATCCGTGGGCTGATTATAGCTTCGAAGATAATGAGTAGTACACTTACCTATATAAATTCATACTAATGGTATATCGAGGGCTTACTATATTCAATTCCCTTTATCTGCAATTTTCACAAAAACTACTTTATTATTTATATTGTTATTTAGAACTCATCTGAGACTTGCAATGAAATAGTAAATTCTTTTGCCAAGTGTTGTACTAAGTCAGCATTAATATCAGCGATGACAGTTAAGTCTTAGGTGAATCTTCATATCAGAATCTAATTTTTGTGAAAAATGCAGATAAAGGGTATTGAATATAAGCTCTCGATATAAAAAAAAACTGAGTAGCATATTTTGAAAATTCTTACCATACCAAAATTTAATGTAAAATTTAAATAATTTTGCTATAAAATAACTATTATTTTTAAAAGGTAAATGCTAAAATAATTATTTTAAATGTAATCCCAAGTTTGTGATACCAAAAAACTTAAATTGGGCAACGCTACTTCGAATTTTTCACAATTGGGCAACTATTAAAAATTTGCTTTTCAATCAGAAAGTTGTTTATTGAAAGTACCTTCTTTTTCATATCATGTAATCGTCATTTTCGCATCATATATCGATATATTGTGGTTAAATTGTTGTTTTTGGAATTTTTCCGATTGAAGTTAAATTTAAGATTATTAAAATATCTTATCATTAAGTTGTATTTTAATTCACAAACATTTTCTGTATCATAATTTACGCAAGACTTAAACTGAACAGAAAGCACAGCATATTTTTACAATTAAACTTTGGTTTTATTTAATCAGATTTTTCAGAAAATTTTTGAGTATTTATTTAGCCCATTAATTCTAGTACAATAATTTTAAAATTACAGGTTATTTAAAAATTGCTCTGATTTTTCGCAATTTTCTAACGTATTTCCTTCCATAAAAAGTATAATCGACAATTTTTTGTTATGGAAAAAATGCTCCACAGTAAAAAAAAAAATAGTTTCGAAAATTAACGCGATTTTTAGCAACTTAAAACCTACAATTTATTTTACAAGAAAACTCGAACTGTACACTGCAAATCTATATACAATCCCAGTTCTTTGATTTAACTTTTATTTTTTAAGTTAGAACCTTTTAAGCGGTACAGAGTGATTTGAAATTTTTTAATATGAAAACCGACACCATGCGATACCTCTTATCACGCAGAAATGGTGTATATGAATCATTAGAAATATTTTTTGAGGGTTTTGAGTTGGGTTTCCCCTTTTTAAAAAGTTAAATTCAATTTTGGCGTTTTAATGCCATGCGGGTTCACTAGTATTTATTAAAATATTTGGTCGTGTGCCCTGATTTTTTCTCTATTTTATTTAGTAAATGCTATATTTTCATATGAACCTACAACAAAAACAATAAAAACAAAAGTTATAAGAAAAACACATTGCTTAAGTGAACAAAAATCTCCAATCAGTTTTAGTTGAATACAATTTTTCTAAATTTTGTTGCTTTTATTTTGTATGAAACTGCGAATTTCGTACAAAGTTATAATGAATTTTTCTTATTCAAATGTCACTTTGTTAGGTTAAACCATTCAAACATAAAAATTGAATATTCAAAAAATTTTATTTTTTCCGCCGAAATATCACTGTGCAACGTCTAAAATTCTTTTTAGAAATACTTGATAAAAAAATACTACGAAAAAATATTAACAAGAAATTTTAAATTAAAGTCTATGGCGGAACGGAATTTAAAAAAATATCAAGCGCTATAATGTTTAAACGTATATATTTTCATGAATTTCAATGTTTAAATTCGTACATATAAATAATAAAGTAGGTTTAAAGAGCTTTATAAATCGATGTTTTTATACATTTTTCCCTATATAGGCCCTTTTTAAAGCTACTTTATTTTTTATGAATAAGGCTATTAGTGTTTTGTGTTTTATATGACAATTGTTAGAACCCCATCTGCTCTTATATTTGAAGGTACATATATTGTTTTTAATAAATATACATTTTTGGAATTTTAATAAACTCGAACTGGGCATTTCATGTTATTGTAAAACTATGTTAAATTTAATTTTAGCAATTTATTCATTCCATTAGAACCGCAAACTCGTGTCCATCCAATGAAATTTTTATGCGTTTACTAGCGACTCTGCTTAGACTTTTAATTACATAACTTCAGCTGCTGGAAATTACTGATTTCGATAATATTTTCTTTTTTCGGAAAATATTTATATAAATTTTAAGGGAAGAGTCCTATCTATGTCTGTAGTTTAGGTTAGGTTGTCGCGGTCGTCTATAAAATACACTAAGGCCGAAGACCAACTGTGATGCCGCTTGTACGATGATCAACTTCCAATGGTTATTTGTAGTAAGATGTCTAGAGGTCATGTCATTTAATAACGGTACCATGAAAGTTAGCCGTAGAAATGCTAAAAAGCATAGTAAGTACTTGCATTAGAGAAATGGTATTATTTTCATGCCTTCTTATTGCGTTTTTAAAGCAATGGAATACATATAACTACTTGCTTTTGAAAAAAATTAAGGGTCATTCCATGTAAAAGAGGACAACGACATAAATTTTAAAATGCCCTAATTATCCCTATTTAAGTAGTAAATTATTTTAAAATGACTACATTTCATTAATCTGTTGATAGATATTTAAAAAATTGCAAAGAAGTTTTAATTTTTGTCTACTAAAACTTTTACTTCATGTCACAAATGTAACTTTTTTTTTTAAATATTTCTATGACGATTATATAAGCATAAAATAGAGCTATTTTCAGTGTCCCACCAGTCACATTCATTCAAATGATAGTTACATAAAAGAAAGAAATCGTTTGGTATTTTTGTTAAAGCGATTTTATACATAAATTATCGTTCTACGATAAAAAAATATCTTTCGCTGTTGTATAAGTGCCAACGACATAGTTATAATTCACAATTGATCACATCCTGGAGTAAATTTCCCACCAGTCACAGTGGGTTGGCCCTTAAAAGAGTGATAGGACATTATTTAGGTATACTTTTTTAAAAGTTTAAATTGGGCGTTATGTTAAATCAATCGAAATTTTTCGCAGTGTTCATCTTTAATTTAAAGCGTTTACCGTGCTCTCTTTCAGTACAAAAGAACACTAAATATGTAGGTATGTATATTAAACACCTTACTGATCCTTACATGGTATAAAGCAGATGTTTCACCACGCTAATCTCGAAAACTACTGTAGGTAGAGGTATTAACCTTTGAACTTAAAATTTCTATAGGGTTGCCATCTGTCTAACAAATTATAGGATCCGCACCGTTTGTTGGATTACAAAAAAATATGTGTCAAATAAAAGGGCTTGACCTCTACATGATCAATAATGTATTATATTTGAGTAGGGTTGCCACCTTTTTAAAAAATATAAAAGGATGTGGTCAGCGGATATGCAAAAAGCTTTTAATTTTTTTTAGTGAGATTGTCAACTATTTAGAAATTACTACCATACATGTAATGCGTGAAGGCAGCTGGACGGTCGGATTTATAAAACGTTAATATGTATGATTAAAAAATATTCGAGGGCGGCCTAAGAATAAATTGCGTGTCGAAATCAGAGTGAATTGATGAACCAAATCGAGCACTACTTGAATACCTGGAAGACCGTTAGTTGCAGCAGCTTTGCTTTTTTTCCTGTTCATACAAAAGTTCAGTCTGGTCTTGAAATCTTCCGTAAGTTGCTTAATTTTCAGATAAAATGTTCGGGCATTTGTTACGGAAAATACGTCTCGCTTCCCTCTTCAGTGTCGCCCCCATCGCAGCTTTGTCTTTCAGGCGGCATTTTTTTTCTAGTCAGATTCGTGACATTCCTAGTCGAACCAGTTGTTCTTTCGGACCCTATGAAATCCGATTTGTTGACGAGTGCTTTTTTACAATTGTCGCATACACGCAACAAGTGAATGCTGCTTTTTCGAGCAAAACCAGCCTAATACGGCATTTAGATGGGGCGATTTTACAGGCAACTTTTAGTTGAAAGCAACAGTCGCCTGGTGTGAACAGCGTTTCAATTAATCGCTTCCAACCGTTTTATATTTTTTTAGAGTAGTAAAAACATAATTTTAATAATATTTTAAACTCAACCTAAGGCCACTTAGGGCCAGTTTTTGAATGCAAGTTTAAACTCAGATCACATAAACTTCGTTTATCTTAAGCAGCTGGCTGACATTAGCTAATCTCAATTTAAACCAGCCAGCTCGAGCGGTTAAACCACAGCCGTTCACTGAAAAACTGGCCCTTCAACGTTTAAAAAGTAGGTGGCGTGGAGTGAGATGGAAATTATTGGGACTTAAAAATCGAAAAAGCTTCAACGAAGTAGCATTGCCGTGGCAATCATTTGACCGATGTGTTATTCATAGTGCTATGTACATAATGTTTAAAAAATTGAAATTTACTATATGCAACTAATAATTTAAAAAATATAATTTAAAAAATGAGCATCTAGAAGATTTCTTAGTCAACTTTTGAAAATAAATTTGAGTTCCTCGGCCGAAAATCTACAAGAAAAGCCCATAAAATTAAAACCCAAAAAAATTTGTTTTTTTGTAGCACACCAGCAAAGTAGATATTTTTATACCCGAGCGCACTTGTGCACAAGGGTATATTAATTTTGTTCACATAACGGTTGTTTGTAACAGCCAAAACGAATCGAGATAGATATAGACAAATGTATGAGAAATCGATTAAGCCATGTCTGTCTGTCCGTCTGTCCGTCTGTCCGTCCGTCCGTGTACACGATAACTCGAGCAAAAATTGAGATATCTCAACGAAATTTGGTGTGTAGGTTTCTGTTAATCCAAGGTAGGTTGGTATTGAAAATGGGCGAAATCGGACAGTAACCATGCCCACTTCCCATATAACGGTAATTTCCAGAAATACGAAAACTGCGATATCTTAGTAACTACTGAAGATAATTTACTCAAAATTGATATTTGTAAAAATTTTCAGACGAAAAATAAGAATAATATAAATTTTTGGAAAATGGGCGTAGCCACGCCCACTTATGGTTACATGTGTATAT